TTGGAGGACAAGGCGCATGAGGGTAGTTTTTGAAACAATTAAGGTATTAGTGATTTCAAGTGTAACTAGTCTCGATGCATATTTCATGAAAAATTCGCTCCCGAATTTCAATTTTTAAGCATCCAAAACTCAGTTAGAACTTTCTTTCCAAATAATCCGGATCCAAATAATTTCGAAACTTCAAACACGTATCTCTCGAGATAGCAAAAACTGCACTTATGCGCCTTGTCTTTCAAGTCCCTCAATCCTGCTCCACCGTCTCATTGTGAAGGCCTCTTTAGAGCCAACTGTAAGTAAATCATTTCATCGAAAATCATCCAAAAAATGTAGGTAACAGTACATAAATTAAAAAATTCTGTATTTTGGAGATTTTAGTGGTTTAATAAAAAAGGAGTGAGTCATAGCATATTCGACGGTGAAACTGCAAAATGAGTATCTTGGTTGCGATGTTTCGAAATCTCCGCTACTTTTTTATGTTTTAAAAGGCGACCGAACCAACATCATGGCTTGAAGTTTTCACAGAATATTCTTTACAAGGAGAAGAAAAATCACCGAAACTTTAAACAAATGACGTTCAGTAGTTTTATGAGTAGAAAATAAAGATTGATAGGAATTATTGAAAGTGTTAATGTACAGAAAAAAAAAAACTTTTGATAGGAAGTACCTACAAACTTTCTTATAAAAGTGAAACATCAGGAATGTGTACTGTGGTGTGCACAGCTGTTCATAATGATTCACATATTTGAAACAGGCGGTGAAAATCTTGCAACGTCGCAAATTGAAGTATGTATGTTTTTCACATCACCGTCCGTCGTCGGTGATGGGAAAATGTGTCACTGCGTACGCGCTCAAGTGTCCATCGTGATCTTCTGCCGCTAAGTCGAGGCGACACTATGGAAGGCACTCTGAGCAACTATTCCACCACGGAGGTATTGCAGAGTATCAGACGGAATTGAAGGCGCTCTGAGCAACTATTCCACCACGGAGGTATTGCACAGTATCAGACGGAATTGAAGGCGCTCTGAGCAACTATTCCACCACGGAGGTATTGCACAGTATCAGACGGAATTGAAGGCGCTCTGAGCAACTATTCCACCACGGAGATATTGCACAGTGTCAGACGGAATTGAAAGCGCTCTGAGCAATTATTCCAGCACGGAGGTATTGCACAGTATCAGACTGAATTGAAGGCGCACTAAAGTACGTAAATTGACCAGTAGCATTCACCTGTGTAATATGCGGCTCCTATTCATTCCATGTTTGTGAAACTTGGTACAAGATGGAATTTTTTGAAGAAAGACTTGAATTTTAACTCTAATTTTCAAAATTCGAAAATCCGAATGGTTGATGTTGCCTATACTGCCGTGCTAAGGTAGAGCGCAGCGCCGTATGAACATTCGAGAGTTGCCAAAATCTTGATAAAAACATGTATTTCTGACAACATTCATGCACATTTTTCTTTGAAATTCTCAGAGATTTTAGATTAAATAGCTCACGAAAGGGTCTTAAAATTTTGAATAAAAAATATTCACAATTTCTCCTGCAAATTCAGTTTTTATCGAAGGATATTTAGCAACGTCTGAGGGTTCATACGGCGTTTTTCCTTAGCACGGCAGTTTATTGCTATCTCCGCTCCTGCTCGATCGAGTTTCGTGTCCAATTTTCAAAATTAAAAAATTAAAGATGCCGGACGCGGCCTGAATTGCTATCTCGGCACTTTTGGAATTATTCGACTTTCGATTGAACTTTTTTTTCAATGTACATCCATGGCCAAAGTGCGAAACCATGTACCCACGTTTGCGACGTTGTAGACTTCCTGTCATACATCACTTTTTCGCGGGGAAACTAGTCAACGTGATTTCTTGAAGAACTCAAAATTCTATCATCGTTTGTAAATTTTTTTTGCAGACTCACAAAATGACCTACCACCACCCCCCCCCCCCCCCCCCGACCGAATAAATGACTGAAAAATGGCCGGATCTAACAACAATTTTGATCTCTAAACATTACAGAATGTAAGAACAAGCCAGAAAGCTCTAATATGTAGGTATTAGAGAAGCGCGCTCAGCAAGTACGATAAACAAAGCACAAGGACAGGATTGAAAGAAAAAAATGCGGCTCGAAAACTGCATTTCTATGGTAACGGTAACGCAACAGCTGTGTCACATGGAGCCGAATTTCAACAGGTTCAAAAAAAGTTCCGATAAAAAGAACTCAATAAGTACGTGGACTTTCAGACATAAAAGTAAAATAACCATAAAGTTCCCGGTAAAGAAAATTTTGAGAACGTCATGTATTTCATCCGCTAACCCTGGTAAAAATTAGCGATAAGAGCTACGTTTCAAAATACCATAGGAATTCTTATAGCCGGCTGAAGAAGGCTACAGAAAATCATATAGCTGGCTGTAGAATACGTAGAAAATCATACGGCCGCGGGCTATACAAAGCGATACAAAATTATGGAGCCGGGCTATAGTTCCTATCGCCGGGCTTTACACTTTATCGCCTGACTGTTGCTTTTTCGCCATCGATTATAAAAGGCTATAAGAAATTGTGTGGAAATTCGTGTGCTTTGGAAACATTAAGTTTGATACGGAACCACCTTAATATTTACAAAACGCGCATTATATTTCCCTTCAATACATATTTTTTTTCATCAATTAAAATGAGAATCATCAATACAGAATGTGCAAACATTTCAAAATCGTGAGTTGAATAACGCTGACTCCGCCAGATTAAATATTACAAAGCGGAGCGGCGACGCACTGGCGCCTGCAAACCTAACAGGGATACTTCACGCATTGCGCAACGCGTGACGCCACAGCGCTTGAAGCAACTATTCACACCAGAGGTATTGCACAGTATCATACGAAACTGAAGGCGCTCTAATATATTAGGAATGGCAAGCATCCATCAAAAGTACGGAGCTTTCCTCGCAAAATAAATCAAGATACTTCGGCCTAAAAAGAGAGCAGTAGTCCAAAAACTCACTAATTGTAAGTCCTAGCATCCGTAATTAGTGACGTTTAGCATACACTTCATCGCCTGGTTGTTGCTTAGTCGCCATCGGCTATAAAAGGCTTTAAGAATTGTGTAGCCGGCTATAGAAGCTATTGGAAATCTTACAGCCGGCTGCAGGTCTATGGTATTTTGGAACACGGATTCTACTGCCAATTTTTACCAGGGTGCTCTACTATAGAAGAACTCTAGTGACAATACGAAGACAAGAAGCGCCTGCCCATCAGCTGAGCGTTTAATTAAGTACACTAATATACACATATTTTACTTGTATTCTAGGTCTATAAACTTTTTGCCTCCCTTAATTTAAAAATCTAAATTTTTGTATATACTTCCATCTTCCAAATTCTTCGTAAGGACGTTAGTAGCCTAGGATGCTACATGTGTAAAAATAAAATAACTAACTATATAGTATTCAAGAAAGGTGGCCAAAACGCGAAAAAACGTCAATCCCAAAAGTGACATACTCAAAATCTATTCAAAGAACACCATGAGAGCAAGGTTAATTTTCAGCCGTGATTCATTTTTTTATGATTTTTTTTCAATTTTCTCTCCCGCCCCGCCTACTTTAGGCACAACCCTGGTAAAAATTGACAGTAGAATCTGTGTTCCAAAATACCATAGACCTGCAGCCGGCTGTAAGATTTCCAATAGCTTCTATAGCCGGCTACACAATTTCTTAAAGCCTTTTATAGCCGATGGCGATTAAGCAACAACCAGGCGATAAAGTGTATGCTAAACGTCACTAATTACGGATGCTAGGACTTAGTGAGTTTTTGGACTACTGCTCTCTTTTTAGGCCGAAGTATCTTGATTTATTTTGCGAGGAAAACTCCGTACTTTTGACGGATGCCTGCCATTCCTAATATATTAGAGCGCCTTCAGTTTCGTATGATACTGTGCAATACCTCTGGTGTGAAATAGTTGCTTCAAGCGCCTTGGCGTCACGCGTTGCGCAATGCGTGAAGTATCCCTGTTAGGTTTGCAGGCGCCAGTGCGTCGCCACTCCGCTTTGTAATATTTAATCTGGCGGAGTCAGCGTTATTATACACAATTTCTTATAGCCTTTTATAATCGATGGCGAAAAAGCAACAGTCAGGCGATAAAGTGTAAAGCCCGGCGATAGGAACTATAGCCCGGCTCCATAATTTTGTATCGCTTTGTATAGCCCGCGGCCGTATGATTTTCTTCGCATTCTACAGCCAGCTACATGATTTTCTGTAGCCTTCTTCAGCCGGCTATAAGAATTCCTATGGTATTTTGAAACGTAGCTCTTATCGCCAATGACCACACCAGGGAAATGACTTTCAGTTAGAGGTTCAGACCAAAGAAATTCAAAAAAGTCCGAAATAAGTACGACCCTACTGGACCTTTGCTGTAATTTAAGCAGAAGCTCCGAAATATTTACTGCTCCTTAAGTGTCACATTTGTTTAGGTTTTCTGAAAGTAAGGAAAAGTGACTTTCAGCCTTTTGAACCTACCTGCTTTTATTTAGAGATGGCGGGCTGTTATTTTACCAATTTTCAAAGTAGGTAAAAGTGGGTCAGAAGTCTGCACTTTGGAAAGCAGGTCAGTGGAGTCTGGAGCTCATTACTGGGTCAACTGGGTCACTCAACCTGCCCCCCCCCCCCCCCCCGTCCCATTCTTGCGCCCCGCACATCGCACATCGCGTATCCCGGCTGGCGCCAAAAGCCCGATTCGTGACGTCATCATATGAACGTCATTCATACGGTTTTTTGGACGCTGCCGGCGTTTGCTTCAAATTAGCCCATACTCTAAAAGCGTCAATATTCAAGGGGAATGGCGCAAGTTAGGTGCTAAGATGGTAGGTTTGAGGCTTTTAATTTCACACAAGCACGCGAACGATCGCTCCAATTTCGAATTTTAAAGTAGCAACGAACTTCAATGCACACAGCGACAACGCCGCCTCCCTCAAAATCGATGAATGAAAGCGGGCCTTATCCCAAGTTCATCCTTGGGCAACCTGGCTCCTGCACAGTCGCAAGTAGGCAACCCGAAGCGCTCCTTGTCAGCTGCTGTTCCACACGTTGTGTTTATTTTGGTGTGAGTTTTCGAATGCGAAATTGCAATTGTATCCTCTAATCTTTCTCCTTTTTCGCAATCTTTTCCAGCGCAATTTCTCCCGAAGTTCACCTTAGTTTAGCTGTGTAATCGGCCGCCGTTACGTTCACCTTGCAAATAACACCCAGTGATTAGTGAATCTGATATTGATTTTTTTGTCCCATTCATTCGCGAACGAACGTGTCACGAAGCGATTTCCCGGATTTTGTGCGGGTTCATCAATGCTATGTGCTGCTTTAACGTAGGAGTCTTGTAAAACACTTCTCATCCGATCTAACGATGACAGAAGCAAGGAAATTAGAAGAGGGTTTGGAGTACATTCGAAACGCTGAAAAAAGGTAAACATTCCACCTTATCTGTTATCACTTATCAGAGTAAATTTTCAGAACAATTTTCTGTAGTTCCTGGTAAGGGCATCTTTTGTACATCTCAGATTGATGCCTATGAATAAAGTACATTTTAGCACGCAGTTTCTACTAAAATTGATTTAATTAATTCGGCTCACCCTAGATCATATCAAGGCATGTATCGCAAGTCTCGGCCAAACACTACAAGTTTATCGCCATCTTTGATATTTTCACCGATCTGATCACTTATTTGATTCGATCAAGGCATGCAGCAATCCCTATTAAGTATTGGTTTATTGCTTGTCTTTCTTTCGGCGCAAAGGGAAATGATTCATTGAGGATAAAAATTGAGGTTAGCTCGCTCTAAGCGGCGTCCGACCCAGGCAGAGATGTCATCAGCTAAGTTAGTAGTTGTTTACTTTTGACTGTCACACGCAGTTGACCGCCTAATGTCTCTGTGTCTGGCAGTGTTGTTGCGTGCAATTGTGGTGCAGTAAACCTTCAATCGCTACTGAACGACTGTAAGGTGTTTGCTTGCAAACTAAAAGTAAACAAATGTCTACTGGATCTGACGACACCTCTAAGCAAGCCAAGAATTGCTTGTCCATAGATTTCAAGAGAATGAAAAAATCATGCCCATGAAATTGCTTGAAATCTCAAGACGGAGAATAGGTTGTTAGTCACTAAATCATTTGAAAATCAGAAGGGAAGAAATTACAGTATGTCTGGAAATAGGCGTACTTAAAGCAGGATTAAAGTAACAAAGCTGGACAGATAGAGGTGTTGTGAGATAAGTTGGCCATTGTTTACTCCCGGTTTGCAGGCGTGTTCGCGTAACTACCATCCACATGAAAACATCTAACTCTTGCAGAAGTGAAGACACAAACTTGGATAGGTTTTTTTAACACCTCCAAACCTTGTAACACTTCAATTTTAAGCCACACAAAAATCACAACCACTTTCAAGTCGCGGATCATAATTGATAAGAAGTTTTTTTACGATACGATCATAGTTTGATGTTTTTAAGGTGGATAGTAGCGAACGCTGCTTTGTGCAGTGGTGTAAATTCGTCGTCAGCGCTTGCAAACAGAAAGTAAATAATAGCCAACTTATCTGATGACACCTCTACATAAAACTACTTTTTGCGAGACCAGCAGCCTGATTGTTGAAATTTTTTGTTTGTCGGGACGACATAGATGACATAGGTTAAAAGGCGGAACGTGATTGGTCGGCTATGTCTTATCACTGCTTTGTCGTGCCTATGTCGGGTTGAACTCACGACAAGCTAACGGCACCTCTTAAGTTTCTGACAGTATGTCGTCCATTCCACCTGACAAAGGCACGACAAAGCAGTGTTAGGACATAGCCGACCATCACGCTCCGCCTTTTAACCTATGTCCTCTATTTCAACCCGACAAACACAAAATTTCAACAATCAGGTTGCAGGGTATGGGCCATTGCAACTGCCTGAAAACGTGTTTGCTGTTGACTGAATGGAGTAGCAAGACTCGACATGAGAGTCATGGTGGTAGGGGAGAACATACACTTGGAGGCCAAGTGGGATGTATGTTTATTTTATTACAGACAAGGCGGGAACTGAATGCTTTGATTTTTTATCAAATGTTAAGCTCTGAATACCTAGATTAATGCTTATGTAATTGTAAAGATTAATTTTTTTTCTGTCCTGCTTTTCAGTCTTAAAACCGGTCTCCTGAAATGGCGTCCAGATTATGATGTTGCTGCAGATGAATATTCCAGAGCGGGTAAGCGTTCAGTCACCGTTTATAGAGCTTATTTCATATTTTCATCCACAGAGTCTAGTTTTTTATCAAGACTCATAGTGTTGGATCTAATAAATTGAATCCCATGAATGCTGATGGTGAAAGCATCGAGCAGCTGGCCTCTGTTTGCAACATAGCAGTTTTCTGGTCATGTTATTTATAATTTTTTTGGCAAATGATTGACCATCACTGTGCAAAATGTTTAAGACTAGTTTCCGTCTGCTAAATAGACTTATTCTCTGAAAATTTCATTTGAAAATGTCATTTGATATGTTCTCGAAAAATAAATAGGGTGCAGAAATTTAAAAATAGTTTTGTTTCTTTTTCCTCCTTCATTGGACTGTATCAGCATAGTACTCACTTTTCCTTTTTTGCCCGATGTAAAATTTCGGTTGTCAACCTAAAACTTAAAACACGATGGCTATTTCGGCTCTATCAGCCATCATCTGTGAGTACTATTTAAAAGTGAGTGCTATTTAAAAATAGGTTGAGATACTTGTTGTTTTAAAAAGCACCAGAGAGATGTTTAAACTTCTCAAGTAAGGCAATGCTAAAATACTAATGCAGTTTTCTTAAACAATGACAAGAAAGAGAAAAATCATCCTTTAAAATTGAGAATGTTAAATAGCTAATATTGTTAGCAATTTCATACACGATATTAAGGAAATATAAAGACTGGCAAAAATTTAGAGCGTTGACAGTATTTGAAACGAGAGTTTTATGGGAAAAACTAGAATGATGCCTTCAACAGAATTTTGGATTTTAAGCAGATGCTCTTCTATTTCTTATATTTTTAAATTTAAAACTGATCTAAGTAAATGATTCTTCTGTTGCAGCAACATGTTTTCAAGTGGCCAAGTCTTACCAAAAGTGCTATGATTGTCTGATGAAAGCTTCCGATTGCCATAAACAGAACAGATCGTATCCTTTCAAACATGCATCTTACATACCTTATTTTTCAATTTAGTTCTGTTCTGAGAAGTCCTCTTCTTAACTGAATTAATACACTTTGTCAAAACCTAATCAAATAATTTTTTTTGTTAGAAAACAGGTATTATTTAGAGTCTGTCATCCATCCCATTTTTATGTGTGTTAGGTACATTAAGTGTTATTTTTGTAAAATATTTTCCAAGCCAAAAATTCCAAAAGAGCTCTCAAGTTTTTGTTGAGGAACAAAATGTGTTTTGCTTTGACTGAAAAGTGAATTGATATAATAAAAGTAGCTTCTTTTCTGCTTGAAAATCTTGGAAATTTTATCCGAGGAAGACAAAATATCTAGAAGGATTGTTTAAGCAAAAGTAAAAGGAAAAATTGAGTTCACTTTTGCTAGCATAATCCCTAATTTACTTGTAATAAGCCCTGCATTTTGAAGCATGATTTTCTCAAGTACGTTGAACTTCGGTCATTTATGAATTGATATGTATTCATCAGGGGCCTGATTATTCCATGCCAGAAGGTTTTCCTTAATTGATTTTTTTCTCAGATGGTTTCATGCTGCCAAGTAAGTATTTAATTGTGCTTTAAATAATAGAAGAACCAAGGAAAGAAATAAATTAATATTCTTATTATTAGCTCATGCGCTCATGTTATTCTTAGCAGTGTTTCCTCATGATTTTTAGTTAATTTTTTATCAAAAAGACCTAAATTGGAGGTAATAATAATGAGCCATCAAATGGATCCATTATTTATGTGCTTGATGTTGGCTGTGACTAAGTAATAAGTATGTTATTCCTCCACAGTACTGATGACTTTCAAACAACCTTTACTCCAATTAGACTTTTGCTAATGTTATGATCACTTTCAGCCCTGAGCATGATTTTGTCAAAGAGGTTTTGGCCGTTTTAGTTTACAAACAGTATGCACACAAAGAATTAAAGAAGAAAGAATTGATACGTTGGCTAAAAACATGTCTCTTGAAATTTCTGGTAAAAGTAGCTTGCGAAGGTCACAGACTCAGACTTCATCCTACATTCTAATTTCAAAGGTCTTCGTGTACTCTTATAAGGTCAAGCACAGATTAAACGTTGCAAATTGAATCATTCTTCAAGTATGTAGAAACGACTACAGTTGAAAATAAAAGTTGTTCAACAGAGAGATTGTATGCTTGCCATTCGTGCGCCTTATTGTATATGCAAAACTAAAAATTCCAACAATGAGAGGAAATAAGCTCCACCAAGCAAAATCTAAATTGCATTTTTGCATTTGCATCTGCGATCATTTAAATCAAAATATTTTGGTAGAGACCGTTTGTACTGCTTTCTACTGCTAAGGTATAAGAACATTTATGACTTATCATAAAATGTTTTTTTTTAAAGAAAAAAAAAAAAAAATTAAAATGATCTTTAATGCTGTCCATACTAAACCAAGCCTAAAAATTCGACACCAAGGTGTCTCTATTGTGCTTTTTTGGCCCCATGTGGCCAATATCAGTGAAATGACATCTAACACTGATCTGAAGTAACGGTGACTGCTTGCAAACTTTTAGCCATATATTGTCTTGACCCTGTCTCAGAGCTATTTAATTCAAATGCTCTTTAATTCTCAATGCCCTCTCTGAGTGTTTTTCTGGCGCCACAAACACAAATGAATTAAAAAATGTTGCCATGAAACATGTCAGAGGTATTTTTAGTAATCAATCTTGACGAGATGTTAGTACAGCCAACTTATATAATCATCATCTCTCCCTTTGCAGGAGTTTAGAACAAGCTATCCTGATTTGCAAGGATCTTGGAGACTTGCGAGAAATTCCCCACCTGGCCGAAAAGTCAGCCAGTTTGTACCAGCAGTATGGCTCACCGGAGGCTGCTGCTACAGTTCTCAACAAAGCAGCCAAACTTTTGGAACAGAATAATGCAGAGGAAGCACTGAGACTTTATCAACATGCAGCTGATGTTGCTATGGTAAGTTTTATTTATTATATCCACCAGGCAAACCCATTAGTTTTTTTTCCAACTAAGTTCAAGAAGAGGCTCACTTGATTTCATGCCATAAAAGGGTCTAATCCAGACATTTCATGCCCTGAACATGATAAAGCCGATTCCTTGATACAGTAAGACCTCGATTTATCGGATTTCACAGGACCGGAGGTTGAATCCGTTAAATCACGGAATCCGCTAAATTGTGCAGTCAGGCCCGCTGAAGGGACCGGAGGATCGATCCGTTAAATCGCGGAATCCGTTAAATCGCAATCCGATAATTCGAGGTCTTAGTGTAGCTTTTTTTCAATTTTTTTTTCTTCTTTCAACTACAAACTACAAATTGCAGCTCTGTTGTGATCTGAAATACTTGAGCATTTTTCCCCCTCCAAAACATGCCTATGTCTCTAGGTAACACTCATCAATGGTCTAGTATTGAAAATTTAATTGTCAGTTTTTGTGGTCCAAGTCCCCTTTTCTCCGGGAAGAACTTAAATTTTCACTTCGTGCTCAATGTGAAACAGCGATTATCAGTCAACAAGTTGGTAGAATATTGCTGAGTCCAGACTATTCTGCAGGGAAAGCAGGGCCAAAATATTTCAAACATTTTCATCGGATAAAAAAGATGTGAACTCTAATGAATCAGTGAGCTCAAGAACACACCAACTCGGGTTTTTTTCGATTTTCACTTTTTTACGATTTAGTAACACTTATGGATAGAAGCATCTGCACGCAAAAGGAAATTTCGAAATTGCAATCGGAAGTGCTCGAAACAGCGACGGGAAAAGGGAAAAATCGAAGTATTCCGTTGGAAATACCAATTTTTTGCCATTTCAAGGGAAACGGGTGACCATCCGATCTTGCGGTTTTCTTTTTTTGGTTTAGTATACCTTGTACCAACAAGTTATATAAATATTCAAGCGTTATTCAAGTCGAAAAATATAAATTTTTCAGGGCAGACTATGAAAAATCAGTATCTGATAGTCGGTGAAAACGAAAACACACCAACTCGGAAATTTTTAAACGCTTAATTCTGTCATCAAACATGGTGTATCGATATCAACTTGGTGCTTTACAAAGTCTCTAAGTACTTGTCCTTTGGCACCAAAAAGGTTTTTCTTAAACTAACTTCTTCGCCCGCTGCGCAGTTTAGGTGTTTCCTGAACAATTTTGTTTTTCCAAGTTGGTGTGTTTTCGAACTCACTGATTCTAATGAGTATCAGTGCACGTCTGAGAAGGGAAAGTGTTCAGCTCGGGCAGGTACATTGGAATAATACGTGTTTTTTGGAATACCTGGATGTTTTTTTCTTGTCATAAAAAATGATGCATTTCTATGGAAATGCAATGCCCAAAAGTAAATATGCATACTTTAACTTTTCCATCGTTAACTTCATGTTGAAAATAACCTTCTTCTTCTTTCTTCGCATCAGATTGAGGACAACAACAAACAAGCAGCAGAATATGTCAGTAAATCAGCAAGAATCTTAATAAAGCTGAAGCAGTGAGTATGCGCTAATTTTATCTTTGTTTCTCCATTATTGAGGTAGTAGCAATATTGTTTTGTTTGGACAGCTGCCTTACTATCCGTATCTATTTACACTTTGAATTCAGGTGAGGCAAAGTGATTGGGGGTGAACGTGACGGGTCTTACTGAGGGGTGCTGAAATTTCCTGTGATTACGATCATGATGACGAGACGCCTTGCGTGGAAAATTGGGAAAGCCAGCTTGCAACAGCAATAAAATTGTGTGTTTCCACAAAAATTGTGACACAATTTGTGTGCTTTTTGTGTAATCATAGTGGAATTTGCAAGTTCTTTTTACGGATGTGCGGACATTTTTTAATAAAAGACCAAAAATAGGTCATAGCTTTAAAAATATTAGCCAGTTTGCAATGGCAATGAAATTGTGTTTCCACAGAAATTTAATGAAATCAGGATGTTTTTGTAGAGTCATAGTGAACTTTTCAAGTTTTGTTTTGTTTTTTTTTTTTTTTTTTTTTTTTTTTTTTTTTTTTTTTTTTTTTTTTTTTTTTNTTTTTTTTTTTTTTTTTTTTTTTTTTTTTTTTTTATTTTTTATTTACAGATGTACAGAAATTTTTGAGTGAAAGACGAACAATAGGCTTTAGTTTCAAAAATATTGGGAAATAAAGCTGATTTCAAAAATTTAAAGGCCAAGGACTTTCTGCAACCGTGGTCCTCCTGACTTGTACAAGAATAAGAAAGTTGCATCCGGGAAATGTCATGAAATTAGGGAATCAGAAGCAACCTGAAAATATTGGGGGAATTCAGAGACTTCAAAGTGAAACTATGTAATCAAACAAAAACTATGTAATCAAAGCACGCCTTCAATTTGGTCGTAAAAAGCCTGGAATCCGAATATCATAGCAGTCTAAAAAACATCATGCTTTCTTTGCAATCTTTCGATTCTCATTGTTGACCTTTTCTAAAAGATCATCACCTTGCCTTTGCTGCTGTGCTAAGGATAACGCTGTATAAGCCTTCAGACGTTGCCAAATTTCTCTCGATAAATCTTAATTTTTCCGGAAAATTTGTAAAAAATTTTACAGAGAATTTTGTTCATAATTTGATCTAAAGTGTCTGAAATTTTCATTGAAAAATACTCATTATTTTTTTCGGGAATGAATATTTTCTGAGAGAAAACTTAGCAAAATCCGGATGTTCTTACGGCGTTTTTTCTTAGCACAGCTGTTCGAGTCTTCAACTTTAATTTTTATTTCTTTTTGTCTGAGCTCAGATATGATCAAGCAGCTGATGCAATCCGTCGTGAGATTGGCCTCCATCAACAGTCGGAAAGCCTGCAATCAATAGGCCGCTTAGCTGTAGCGTTAGTATTGGTCCAGCTCGCCAGAGAGGACTATGTCGCTGCAGAAAAAGCATTCAAAGAATGGGGAAACTGTTGTGATGCTCCAGAGGTAATCAAATTAGCTTCTAATCTTAGTCTCTTTTTCTCATTTGACTATTAACACGAGCTTATAAACTTTGAGAATGTAATTTAACAAAAAATGAGTCTTATCAAAAACTCTAACTTTCAAATTACCTGATTTTAACCAAAAGGACAAAGGATGTGTCCCATTAAGGAGGGTATTTTGGCCCTAACTTTGGTCGAAAATTGAAACAGCTTAGAATAATGTCATGTATGGTCACATCGACTCTTAATCATCTACCCTGTGAGAACTTGTCCTTATTTGAGGTGTTTTTGAAAGGTTTTTGCCTGATTTACCAATGCAAAGTAGTGAAGTTTTGCGGTTTTCTCACATAATTGCTCATTTTCGGTCCTAAGTTAGATTGTTTATGCACAAGCGACTACCATTTTCTCCTTTAAATATGTTGTATCAGGTGTACTAAAGATTAACATATTCAAATATGAAAGTTTTAGTCCCTTGTGCTCATACATAAACAAGCTAATGTAGAACTGAAAATGAGCAATTATGCGAGAAAACCGCGAAACTTCCACTACTTTGCGCTGGTAAATCAGGCGAAAACCTTTCAAAAACACCTCAAATAAGGACAAGTTCTCACAGGGTAGATGATTAAGAGTCGATTTGACCATACATGACATTATTCTAAGCTGTTTGAATTTTCAACCCAAGTGAGGGCCAAAATATCCTCCTTAATAGGACACATCCTTTGTTTCGGGAGCCTAACTGCTCCCGTCTTCAGCGGGTGACAACTGAGGCTCATTCTCAACTCATTCCAGTTTTCTTTTACTTCTCTTGTTATCAAAGGATGAAAAGCAGTGTTCTGCCTTCTCCGAGCGCCATGCGCCAAATGCGCCTAAAAATCGGGCTGTGGTGCCTAAAAATTAGGGGGGCTGGGCCATCGAGGCGCCTGAAAAATTTGACAGATTGAACTTGCAATCGGGAAGCAGCGGTAGCGATGGAGAGCTCTATACGCTCCGTTCGCAGCATCACCATGGCCCGTATACAAAAATTTAATTTGGCTCCTAAAAATTAGTAGATGGCGCCTAAGAATTGGGCTTTTTAGCCAAGGTGGCTCCTAAAATTTTAGGCGGAAGGCAGTACACTGATGAAAAGTGTGTAATCGGGTACCAATAATTTTATGTGTGTGCTCATCAAGATGAACTCAACTGGTTATTGTGAAAGACACACGTGTGGTTTCAGCTTTTGAGTCCAGCAACAAATGTTTTGAAAACATCTGAAAGTCAATTTAGCCCTTTTCAGGTTATTTCATTGGCCTCAGATAATTTCGCTGTGAAATAATATCAAAGTAAATTATAAAAAATTTAAAAAAAAGTTATAGATAAAAAATTCAATAAAAATTTATGGATAAAAAATTAAATAAATACAAAACATAATATTCGTAAAATTATAACACCTCAGCTATCGTGATTACAACTTATTTCTACAAAATAGTATTGGTATTATAGTAGTAAATCTACATTGTTCAAGTATCTTTTTTCGGTCTTATTTAATCTGATGATCTTAGTCCTAGTTAAGACCCATCAATCTGCTCCACCTGTCAATGGACTAGAAATTTCAGGGTTTCCGGCGGTCTGGGATGGGAAACTGAGAAAATCAGATGACGAGCAGGAAAAATCAGGGAAATTCAGGGAATTTCTGACACATCTGCTAATCACTTGGACATATCACTGATCTTCCAACTGTTCACCGTTTCTGGTCAATTTTTAAAGCTTGCCAGCCTTTATCCTGCCACTGAATGCCTTTTTCTATAATTTGATCTCAAAACAAGGAAATTTTGTCCAAAGTTTAGCGAAAGTCAGCATATTAAAAAAAAAAATGGTGGAAATTTAGTTCGAAGTTCAAGAAAAATCAGGGAATCAGAATTTTTTTTTTTTCTTGTCTCATAAAGATAAAAAATCTGTGTAGGCACAGATACCAAACTTCAACCTGCCTTGGCCAACCTCATGGCGGTTTTGTATATTATTTAGAAAATTTTGGGGTCCGGGAAAAGCAAGAAATTCAAGAAAAAGTTAGGGAATTCGAAGATGAAGACGGGTTATGGCAACCCTGAATTTGATCGAATACAACTTACAAACATACTTTTCAGTACCTGAAGTAACATGTCTAATTGTTCACAGGTACAAACTCTTGAGGCGTTAATTCAGGCTTACGATGAGGAGGATCCTGATGCAGCAAGAGCAGCATTGAATTCACCGTTCATCAAACACATGGATGTTGAATACGCTCGATTAGCCAGAGATCTGCCGCTACCGAAAGGCATATCCCTTCCGGCTCCCTCCTCGGTCCGACCCAATGCTGCACCCTCTTATGTCTCGCCTAATGCTGTGAGTATTGTGCTTTAATGCCTGGGCTTTTTTTTTTTTTATCAATGTAAGTAAATTACTGAATGCAAAAGGAAATAATTTATCTCAGCAAGCCTTTTTTTTCTTTGGAGTAATTGTATACTTTTTCCATCCGAATCAGAAAATAATAGAGTACATACAAGAGTCTCTTTCACAAAGCTCTCTAACCGTATGCAAGGTGTATCTGCCAGGCTCATATTCTCTCAAAGTCCTTCAAGCAGTTGAAATTTTAGAGTTCAGGTCATTTTTTTTCACTCATTTTGAGCCTTCAGTGTAACAAATCGTCTAATGTCACATAATTGATAAAAGTTTTCTACCGTTTCCTAGCAGCTTGGAAATGAAGTACATACATCATTTTACCAGTTCATTTTCCTGTATATTAATCAAGTTCATGTATCATTATTTACTATATTAATCAGTGTTTGACACTACAGGTGGTTGGTTTTACCAAGAATCAGCCCAACTGTCTTTTGTTTTGCCTTATTTCCTCTTTAGTGATAATTTTTAATCGAAAACTAAGCGTTACAATGACCCGAAACTTTTTGTGAATTTTCCTTGAATTAAGGAAAGTACTCACTAAAAAACCCTACAAATCCCAAGTATATTGTCTCCATTGGACAAAAATGTAGAAAGTTTTTGGAGCTAAAGTTAGCTGCAGTCTTAACTTAAATGTATTTCCTTACTCTCTATCCTGGCCAATAGGATAGCTCATGTTGAACCATGAAGATTTCAAAACTCAACTCCTTGCTTCGCTGTTTATTATTATATTCTGTAAGAAAAAATAGAGGATCCATCGGAACATTTTATCCTACGCGCAAGCGTGCCTTTGAGCATTTTATCCACTCCTGTGATTAGTCAACGGGTTACAGAAAAGTCAGGAATTTATTGCACCCATCAATTTTTCACAAATCGTCACCTTCCGGCCGAAGTATCACAAGCGCCATGCGACTTTTAAAAGTTTCCGCAGCCATTTCATTTTTTTACAAGGAAATCGCTAGTTGAATCTTTTTGAAAATTTTACTGAATTTTATTGGCAGCACAAAGAAAATTCAGTAAAATTTTTGGACAGCTTTGTTGCATAATTTCTATGTAAAAAAATAAAATGGTGGTAGAAATTTTTAAATGTCACATGGCGCTTGTGATACTTTAGCCGGAGGGCAAAATGGCAATTTGGCCTTTACCCTGAGGTTCAATATTATAGTGCTCCAATTTTTCTTTAGATGAATTATTTTTTAGTGTTTTAAAAGTCATCTTAAAGTTCTAAACTGTCCGCATTTTTTTCAGCCTGTGACCAGCTCAGGCTCCAGTGGTCAACCCACAGGCAGCAATGAGGATGATGAAGAAGAAGGTGGACTCTGTTAAGCTGGCGTTATATCACCAGCGGAGAGTGCTCGCTGCATGACTTGTATGTCCAGCACCTGAGATAGGCTCTGATCTCTTCATCCTAGTTGTACAGTCCTCGATAATTGTGATCAACCAAGTACCGTTAAGAATGTATTCCCCATGGAAGATGTCAATCTTTTCATGGATTGTCCACAAACTGGACTTCATTTTGCATTTGTGAACTAAAATTTCTGGCTCATTTCAGAAACAACACACATGCTATTAGTTTCCTCATGGAGATAGGTGCTTCTGTGGGGAGCCAAAAACAGTGGTTCCTTATTGCAAAATGCAGTCCAATTGATAAGACAGTAAATTTTAAATTTAAAGCAATTCTTGAGTGGCTTTGTTTCGATCCATCTCGACAGCTTAAAATATTGAAATTGTCATCCACTGTGCCGTGTACTATCGATCTTTTTTTCCTTTTTGAAAGTGAAAATTTCTGGGGTGTTCTTAAAACAGATGGGAAATAGCCACTTCTTCCTTTGAAATTTTAGGCGTCGATAATTTTATGATAGTCGTCGAGTAAGTTTCAGGGTATTAAGTTAGTGGGCTGATTGGTGGCATTGATAGACATAGCGATAGACAAAGCAGACAAAGAGAAAATGGAGCGATCCTGTTGGTTGAAATAGGTGATTGTTACAGACTGATGGGGAAAATGATGGACCAACTATAGGGTTCTTTGTGAACCGCTGTTAGTTAGTCTATTACTTATCTCCTTCCTTTGTCCATTGCAGGCACCTGCCTCCTTAATGGGATTGCTTCAACTTTTCTTGGTCTTATTTGTCTATAATTTTGTCTGTCAATTTCAACTATTCGCCCACAGAGTACCTACTTACTTGTCGTGGAGTTTTCCATAACGTAATCTGGGTCACGTCTCTTATTTTTAAGCCTAATATCGTTAGATCTACAAATGTTTGTCGAAATTGTCTTTGAAAATAAGGTCTACTTTGGTTCATTGCACCGTTTTAAAATAATTTTCAAGGCTTTTTCTTCTGAAAAAACTAAACTCCTTGGGCAAATTATGGTGATAAATCGATTTGAGCCATTTTGAAATGTGCGTATTGGCTTTAAACCAAAAATATGAGGACTAAATTTTGCATTTAGGAATTACAATTTCTGGTTCATCCAAGAAAACATTTATGTGTATAGAGACACTGATAGAACATGCGTTGTTTCTAAACTGAGCCTGAAATTTTAGTTCCTTATTGCAAATTGTAGTTCATTTCTTTGTCATTTGTTTTTGAGAATAGTTTCATCAACCGAGTATTTCTCAGTACGTTCATACTGGTTGTAATTAATATCCTTGTATCTACCTTGTAGTTTCAAAGATCAGGACTTACAAGGGATCGAAGACTTATTTTTGCAGAAGAATGATAATGTCAAAAGTCATCAGGTTTTTTTTAGTACCGAAAGTGTACAGGAAAGTAGGGAGATATATTTGTAATTGGCTGTGCAAGAGGCTTTAACAGTTCATTTTTTTGGATGCTAAGCAATAAGATACCATGATTAAGAATCTAATGTAACTCTTCTTGTCCAATAGATAATCGTACAGTGCAAATTCGCAGAAAATCATTTCGTTTTTCTCATCATTGAGAAACTGAAACAAGTTGAAGTTCTAAATGATCGTAGAAACTTGTTCTCAAATTTTACTATCGTACCTCACCATAAATATCTCATATTTCCCTCCCCGTATCGGTCGAATTTTCTCAGGACTAAGACTACAATCTCCACCTCTTGATAACTGTCTTGAAAGAGTGAGTTGAAAATTGTTATTGTTTGAGAAATTTTATGCATGCTTGCGCTGTTGTAAATACTTGTAACTGTTTCTATTATTCATCAAAAGTTCTTATTAAACATTTCCAAAGTCTAATGCAAGTTGACCTAAATAATAATTCTGACCTCGTTTCATGCTTTACACAGGCTCATTTTAAACTGGACTATATTTTGCAATTAGGAGCTATAAATTCTGGCCCAGTTTAAAAACAGCGTATGTACAACTAGTTTCCCTATGCTCATAAGTGTTTTTTCTGATGAGAAATTGTAGGTTCTGAATTGCAAAATGCAGTCCAACTGCCCTCCTTCTCCTCGTGATTATTATCATATAGGGTGATCCAAAAGTTTCTCACAACCCTTAGGGTTCATGCCTTTTTAAGGATGGCCCCCTGAAAGTTTTGGAGGTTCCCAAAAGTCGTCTCTTTTGACCTAGAGACACTTACAAAATATCTCGATTTGTTCAAAAGTTGCAGGGGTGATGATGAGTGCTATTGGAGTAGGACTTTTGGATCACCCTGTGTATTTTTAAACTTTCAATAGGTATGAGTCCCTTTTTCCCCTATTAAACACTTAATAGACTCATGTTTTGTTATGGTCAAATACTTCATGTCGTTTATCATTTAACATTTTTTTACTTCTTTGCGAAAGTCACTTAATTTTTTGCCTAAGAAGATGGTTTCGTTTTGTTGCGTCTTTTCTATATTTACTCGCCTAAAGCGATTATGTTAGACTGTAACTTTGTGAGGATGAAATCGCCATGGTGTGTACTAAGCTCAAAGTCAATGCAAGCAACTCTTTTGTTGAGTAATTGGTTTACCAGAGTCCACGCCGAATAAGTTAACATGCTTTAGATTGCGACTGAAGATCCTGTGCCGTCAGTTGATCGTAAATAAAAATTGGATTGAAAATAAATGAAAGAATCAGGATAAAAGATCTTCTGTCGCAGTCTAAAAGTGTCTTAACTTATTTAATGACTCTACCAACCTTTTGAATATCAAGAGGGATGGAACTCACTCTCACTTTGGACTTTCAGCATACTTTCATTTAAATTACAATTGTAAATCCTTGGAATAGAGCAATAATTATTCAGCCTCAGCGATTACATACTGAATTAATTAGTTTTTTAACTATTTTTGCGTACAATAAAAAATTAAGACAGTTGTGTATACAAGTTTTTTGAACTGATAGACGTGTCAAGCCAATGGAAGCCCCTGAAAGTGGAAGCAAAAAATCAGGTGGCTACATCGTGCTGATTTTGTAGAGGAGTGTAAGCCAGTGCTGAGGTAGTTTCAAATTGTTTGTACAGTTGACTTCCTAGCAAATGGTAGCCAGTGTGAGAAAAATTATTGTTTTGATGAGCTTTTTCCTCTTCTATCATGAGAACTTTCTGTTTGATGATGACTTTTACGCATGATGCCTAAGCGCACTGTTCGTCAGTCATACCGTAGCCAACCCAAAATTTTCTCAATTCAGCCAAAGTAGTTTGTTCTCATTGGTCCTAGCAATAAATACCGCCATGGCAATACTCTCTCTTCACTGTGCTGCAACTAAATAACATTTTAGCTTGATTTCAACAGCACTTTATCGAATCCCAAAATTTTTCACATTCTATGTTTTTGACAAACGAATCTCTCTAATTTCTGTCTCCTGTAATGTTACCACCCCTTGGTCTTGCTTCTTGCCTAATTTGTTATTGTTATTTGTAAATCGTTAATTTATCTTGTGAGTAAAAGAGAATAAAATGGTATTACGTCTACTTTTTGAATAAAGAGATTATTCTTTTCACCTGTTGGGAGGGACATACGTACTGAAAGGGACCCGTCAAGCTTTCCAAATTGTTTGCCAGTATCCAACTTGCAGTTTTTGCACACATAAACTTTTGGAAGTTATGAGCCAACCCACGTTTCCTGTTATAGAAATTTTCTTAACATTATTTAAAAAAAAAACTAATTAACAATTTATCTTCATTACAACTCTTTTCTAGTGATTAGTAATATTTCACGCCAGAAAGCAGAAACATAGGTAACTTAAAAAAGCAATCCCAAAAGAGGCCCTTTTTTAAGAGCTAAAATAAACCCGCGTTTTGAGTAAAGTCCAAATTAAATTTTGAGTACACCCGCTGTAAGGAGTGCTGCGCCCTTTGCAGAGGTTTTGCTTCGTTTCTGTACCATTTTTGACTTGTGCTAAAACCAATTTTGGCGATAAACTTACAGCTGGATGTTGATGGAAGCCCTAGGTTCTCAGAAAATGCGTCTAATAAGGTCAGTTTTCGGGGGGAGCTTGAGTGGTCTGTCCTAAAAACTGCCCATCTTCGAAATTAATTATTTTCCAGGTTACGAAAGAAAAAGTGAGTTCAGTATCCTTCAGTAATTCTTGAAAACTTCTGTGTGAAAATTTCAAGTGATGATATTCATTTGTTCTTCAAAAAATAAAATGGAAGCAGAGATTCTTAAACCCTGCAAACGAAATACAAGGTGGATTTATTGTCAATAAGTGTTTAAAAATCCTAACATTAACTTTTAATTTCCAAGTTTGACAGTTTTTGGAGGAAGACATTGATGTGGGGGAAAGTGGGCTCAAAGACCGGGAAGAGGTATACTGGACATCAGGGGCTTGGAAGTCAAGGCGCGTAGGTGCAGTTATTGAAAATATTGAGGTATAAATAGTTTCAAGTAAAGCTGTAGTCTTAATGCATATTTTGTGAAAAATTCGCTCCCGAATTCCAATTTTTAAGCATTAAAAAGTCTGTTTGAACCTTCTTTCCGGCATAAGGATCCATGTAATTTCGAAACTTCAAATACATATTTCTCCGAATAGCAAAAACTGCACTTATGCGCCTTGTCCTCCAAGCCCCTCAAGTAACATTCAAGGAAAGAAATCCTTGAATTTTGTCTCGACAAACGGATTTAGATGGGACATTATATCAAAAAATCTAATAAAATATAATAACAAAATCATACTCCTAATTCCTTTCATTTCATAGAATTCGTTTCCTCGTAGAAATCCATTCCTTTCAAATCTATCTGCTAACACAATTTTATCTATCGCAAACGCAGATTTTTACATACAATTTTAATCTTCTTTTTCTTATCCCCCCCCCCTAAAAAAAAACCCACCAAAATACCACAATCAACAATGTTTTGTACTTACGATAGAATGCATAAATAAAACTACAACAGTGGATGGTCACTCAAATAAAGAATACATAGGTACAATTTACGTCATCATCACCATATATAATTCGGTAAGCCTTTTCTTTGCGTCAAAATTCAGCGCGAACCGCCGCGCCGCACGGTGGATCGAGTCAATGGTAGAGGTCGGTCATGGGCGACGAAAAAAAAAGTCCGATTTTAAATACTTTTTCTTGGTTTTCTAGTAGTTAAGCTTCCAAAATGAATGTATTCATGGTTCTAGGGTCTTTGATCCCTTCCGCTTTGACATGCGGGTTGCCTAAAGCTGACATTGCAGGAGGTATCAAATTTGCCGTCTGATTCTCAAGGTTTTATTTCGCTTTTGCATGAGTTCTGTGGCAGATAAGTCAAAATTTCAATTAAACATGCTTATTCTCCTCCCTTTAAGGAACATTTTGGTATATCACTAATGTGCATTGGCATATTTTTAGGAGGACCAAAACCACCTCCAAAACTTGCTTTCAAAAAACGCCCAAAAAAATGTTAAGATACCTCGATAAAAAAATGTCCACAAGTGTCCACAAAATCCTTTGTAGGGTTGCTTCTTGTACACTATCAGGAATGATATTACGTAATAATTAGCCGCTAATATCCGCTAATCTGCGAAAACGGTCCATTTGAATGATAGGAAGTCGCGCCTGCTGGGAATCCGATCTTGCTCTAATGTCATCAATAAAATCGTGCATCCGACGATATCCTTCAATCTCGGTAATTTTTCTACTGACCACTGATTTTGGCTGATTTGTTCATATTTTTGGACGAAACATTAACCTCCTGTTAGTGTATGAAGCTAATTTGATCAGTGTTATACTGTGCGATAAAGTTTAAGGTGTATGTTTTGCGCATTGTATATTTCACAAGTCCCGTTTCTTGCAAAACGTCTTCAACATACCTAGAACTCTTCCATGAGCTCCATACAAATAAAAATTGGTTGTGGGTAGAAAAAGAAGAAATACAAGAAATTTCTTCAAGAGACATTGGTTCTTCTCAGAGGTTCTTCAAGGGATCAGAACTTGTATGAAAAATAAATTTCCTCCTATATTAATATTTTTTCAATAAAAATGTCTCAAACTTCACTCCAAACTTCGCAGAACAAAACAAAATAGGAAATATACAAATATTACAATAAATACAATAAACAAACACGGAAGATGACATAATTTTTTTTTTTTTTTTTTTTTTTTTTTTTTTTTTTTTTTTACACTGCACATTCAATTTTTTATATCTTGTGGTAAGTACCCATAATAATCTTCTAGGATGACTCGATAAAAAGAAGCTACAGTATAAACATCTCTTTTTTTATTTCTTTAATATATTGATCTATTTTTTGAAATATGCATATTTGTTGAATAACTGAAAGAGTAGAGGGTTCATGAAAATGAAAACGTCTATTGACTAGCTGGAAGAAAAGAGAAGAAAAATGAACATTATCAGAATGTTCCGTATATATGTCAGTATGCAATTGCGAGAAACCAATTAACATGAATTAAAAACAATGTTAGCAGAAATTGAAAGAAATATGGCAACCTCCGTGGTGAGGGGCCTGTGAAGCCGCCCTCCCTCACTCCTCAAGTAATGCCTTTGAGTCAAGTTCTGCAAAATTCTTCTTTATGTAAGATGCTTACGGTCCCATTCGCCGAAAGTAACGTGAAAAATAAACTATCAAGGTTCCCATTTTCAATAGTCATGAAAAAGTGTGTCAAAATCGTATAAAAACTCGTTATTCGGCTGAAATATGATAAAAAATGGAATCTACGACGAAAAATACACTAGATGAGGGTAGTTTTCTCTATTCTGAGGGCGGGAAATCTCTGTAACCAGAGAAAATAAGACGCGTGATGCGCGATGACCGACCCCTCCCATTGACTCGATCCACCGTGCGCCGGGCCGATCCGTGCGCGGGTGCTACCGGCTCGACCGTCCCGATCCCCCGAGGGCGGGAAAAAAATAGAGATCGGCCGGCGTGCCTGGCCCCCCTCGCCCCCTCGGGAAAAACGGTTGTCCCGTTGGTCCCGTCGGGAGATGCGCGGTTTTTCCTTTTTCCCGTCCTATTTTTCTTCGGTCTGATGACTCGGCTGCCCGGTTCGTTCGTTTCCCTGGAAATGGCCGTGGATGATGGATTTACTGCGGAAGCGTAGTGCACCGTCGACCGTCGTTATCTCGCAATTTTTTGTCTTCAGTCATGGAGAATCCGTGTTCAAAGCGTGGGCGTCCTGCGAGGCGTGGGCATGTTTTTCGCAACCCCTCCTTGCGGCGCATCGAGCGGCGTGGCGAAATGCGACTTATGCGTGATTTACCGTATTCGTTTCGACGGAGCATCCACGATGTTAATGAAAGAGATTCTTATAAATTTAATATATTGAGATATATTAATACTGGAACTTAATATTGAAAAAATGAATTAAGAACGGAAATTTTGAAACACCGCAATGGAGGTACGTGGTTTCGCACTTCAGTCGGTGCGATAAGGACATCCATCAAGTTTAAAAAAATGCATCAAGTCCCCGTCACCGCCGACCAACGCGTTTGTCGATCGAATCAACTACAGGTAGTATGAGCAGGGAGTCAAAACGCCTTCAATTTTTTGAACGCAATACGGACATCCGTCGAGGTTGTATAGTTGTATCAAGGCGCCGTAGCAAGCGCGTCCCATTGATTATCGTTATAGACGAATATAAGTTGAGACAGGCCAGTCATAATGCCTTCAGTTTTATACATACATATTTTTGGGCAAAATGAGAGACGATGGTTTCTCCTTTTGCGACGTTGCAGACTTTCTTAGAAATTTTATTTTTCTTTCGAGAAGCTGGTCAACATAAAACTTACATTCTCCATGATTTTTCGTATTCGATAGCAGAAGATTTGGTTCAAAATTTAATGTCGTAAATTTGGATTGTTTCTCATGGAAGAGATGAATTAAGGACGGAAATTTTGAAGCACCCCAATGGAGATACGTGGTTTCGCACTTCAGTCGGTGCGATACGGACATCCATCAAGTTTAAAAAAATGCATCAAGTCCCCGTCACCGCCGACCAACGCGTTTGTCGATCGAATCAACTACAGGTATTATGCGTAGGAGGTCAAAACGCCTTCAATTTTTTGAACGCAATACGGACATCCGTCGAGGTTGTATAGTTGTATCAAGGCGCCGTAGCAAACGCGTCCCATTGTTCATCGTTACATACGAATATAAGTTGTGAGAGGCCAGTCATAATGCCTTCAATTTTATGCATACATATTTTTGGGGCAAAATGAGAGACGACGTTTCTCCATTTGCGACGTTGCAGACTTCCTTAGAAATTTTATCTTTCTTTCGATTAGCTGGTCAACATAAAACTTAAATTCTCCATGATTTTTCGTATTCGATAGCAGAAGATTTGGTTCAAAATTATATGAGCTTTGGAAGCAGACAGAGATGCAAAAGCCATACAACTGTTGTACCTCAAAATGTTGCTCATGACAATGGGTTTGGAGAAGAGGTCGCGAAGTTGGTCATTGATTCCAGGCTCGGCAAGTCTGAGAAGACCATTATGACAACATCTGTTAAAATGGCCGTTCACCTCCTCTTTTTTGA